GTTCAATCCTCCAGCACCACATGCCAGCCAGCCCCGCCCCCTGGTGGGCTGAGCTGGCCACACACACACAATAAATAAATGTAATAAATAAATGTAATAAAAATAAATATTTAAAAAATAATAATAATAATAATTTATTAGAAGTTCCCAAAATATGAAGGCTCCTGGTTCTCTTAACATAAAAAAATAATAAAAATAAAATAAACTTTCAAACAAACCTTTAGGTACTCATAAGTCAAAGTATTATTGTATGCACCTACTTTTCTTCATAATGAGTAGGAAATAAAATCTGAATATTGATGGGACAGATTATTCTAACCCTGAAATCCCATCTCTTTAATTCCTTTTCCATTTATCCATTTATTTATTTATTCAGTTAACTGTTTTGAGACAGGGTCTCACTCCAGTTCAGGCTGGTCTTGAGCTCACTTTGTAGCCCCTGGCAGGTCTCAAACTTGCAAAGATTCTCCTGCCTCGGCATCCCAAGTGCTGGTGTGTGTCACCACACAGGCCTCCTTTTACATTTTATGAAGGATTAACCTGCTTAAACCCCAGGGAAGGGGCCGGGGAGATGGCTCAGTGGACTAAGCGCTTCCCTGGCAAGTGCAAGGGCCTGAGTTCAATCCCCGGTTCTGCAAAAAAACAAAAAAACAAAAAAAAAAAAAAAACAAACAGGGAAACAAAATAACAAAAGAGAGCCAGCTAGATAGCTCAGTGGATTAAAGTGCCTGCTTAGGCAACCCAGGGTTCGATCCCTGGCCTGCCTATTGTGCCAGCCCTGCTCCTGGGTACACTGAGAATGAGAGTGGGCTTTGTGGCCCGCGCCTGTAATCCCAGCACTTGGGAGGCTGTAAAACAAGATCACTATGAGTCCAATCTGTGTAGTGAGACCCTATTGACCCTGTACTAAATACATTTTAAAAAATTCCAAAAATGTGACTTGAAAAAAAAAGAATATACAAAACATAATTTGCCCATTACTATAAAACAAATTGTTCTAATTCCAGTTTATCAGTATCTCTCTTTACTCTGATCACTAGTAAAACTGACATGAATCAAATTATTTCTTTTTTTTTTTTTTTTTTTTGCTCCGAATGCCTTCAGGGCAGGTTTGGCTGGCTTGAGTTGTGGGGGTCGAACCACAGCAACCTGAGCCTGACTGTTTTGTTGAAGCAGCCACTTAAAGAACTGAGCTAAGGGGCAGGCCCCCTCAAATTATTTCAAAACAAACAACATAAAGCCAGGTCTGGTGGCACATGCCTGTAATCCAATAGTTGGCAAGCTGAGACAGAAAGATCTCTAAAGAGTTCGAAGTCAGCCTGGCTAGTGAGGTCAGAGACGGCCTAAATTATACACCAAGACCCTGTCTCAAAAACAACAACTAGGGGCTGGGGAGATGGCTTAGTGGAATAAGCGCTTCCCTGGCAAGCACAAGGGCCTGAATTCAATCCCCAGTTCCGTAAAAAAAAAAAAAAAAAACCTACCCAGCCAAACAAACAAAAAAACCAAACCCACCAGCATACATGTGTAAGAGAAACAATTCATGTGGTGGTCATAGTTTTCTTTCACTTATACTGTTTTTAGGATATTTAATCCATAATTCATACACATAAAATTATTATAGAATTAACAGTATTGAAAAATAACACATACATGAGCATGATGATGTAAGATTGAAAGTATAGATTTACCAAATATCCTTAAGAAAACTACCACATCTCTTATAAATATTTGGCTGAAATTATTCTGTGTAAATTATAGCTACAATGAAACATTTGTTTGTTTTGTATTTTTAGGTCTTACAGGGTGTTCAGGGTCTCACTACTAGACCAGACTTATAGTAATCCACCTGTTTACAGCCTCCCAAGTGCTGGGATTACAGGCAATGCCACCACACCCAGTCTCAATTGCCTCTTGCCTTGCTGTCTAAGCATGCCCCAGAGGCAGGACTGGCACAGCTGGCCTGGGGATTGAACCCGGGCCCTTTGCTTGCAGCGCTTTAATTCGCTTTTTTTTTTTTTTTTCCTTTTTCTTTGTGGAACTGGGGATTGAACTCAGGCCCTTGCGCTTGCTAGGCAAGCACTTATTTTACTGAGCTATTTGGCCAGCCCTTAAATGAAACAATTCTGTCCCAGAGTAAACACTTAAAACCCTAAATACTAAGTAATGTTAGCTACAATGAACTACCAACTATCATTCCTTTTGTCTTTCAACGTGACCCATGCTTCCTAAGGAACTCTTCTGTAAATTGTTCATGTTTAAACAGAAGTTTATTATAAATAAAACATCTGACTGGTCATCTGTTTGTAGTATTTCTAGTGATACAAATGCTATAGTTGACTTTTAGGCCCACTTAAAAAGGGGGGAAAATAGACTGGGCATGGTGGCATGCACCTGTAATCCCAGCGCTTGGGAAGCTGAAAACAGGAATCACAATGCTCCCAGCGTCAGAGATACACAGTGAGATCCCAGAGAAACTGTACTAAATACAAAAAAAAAAAAAAAAAAAAGTGGAAGGAGGAGATGAGAAATACATAAATACAGGCAGCAAAAAGTAATGTGTCAGAGGCCAGGAAGATGGCTCAATGGAATAAGCACTTCCCTGGCAAGCCCAAGGGCCTGAGTTTAATCCCCGGTTCCACAAAAAAAAAAAAAGGAAAATGAAAAAAAAAAAAAGTAATCTGAAATGTAAAGTATTACACATTTGGAATAAAATAAATGCTGTCATTAATCACTGACAACTTGCTATACACAGACACTGCTTTTCTGCCAAAGCATTTTCAGTCATTTACTTATAGTTTTTTGAAACAGGGTCTTAATATGTAGTGCAGGCTGGCCTAAAATTTGTGGTGATCCTACTACCTCAGCCTCTCAAATGCTGGGATTACAGACATGCATCACTGTGGCCAGCTCCTGTCTTTTACAATGAGAGTGTTTGTTTTGTTTCTTCCAAGAGAAAAACAAATACCACAGGTGGGATCTTTATGCTTCTCTAAAATTAACTACAAAATGTTTGTATTACTGTCAAGAATTCCAATGAATGTCTGCATCTTGTACTATGAATAACCACTACAAAGACAACAATAGGCATTGTATTATTGGGGCTGGTGAGATGGCTCAGTAGTCTAAAGCACCTACTTAGAACAAGCTAAGCTAAGCAAAGCACAGGGACCGAGGTTCAATCCCCCAGCACCACATGCCAGCCAGCCCCGCCCCCTGGTGGGCTGAGCTGGCCACACACACACACAAAATAAATAAATAAACAAACAAATAAATAATTTTTTTAAAAATAGGCATTGTATTAATTATTGAAACCTTCATATTAATCGGTTTTAAAACTGTCTCATCACTATTTCTTAATAACACTGAAAAATAAATAAATAATAATCCTTAGGTTCAAAATTGAAAAAAATTAAAGAAACTGACATTTTTGGTTTACAGAGATAAATGCTAAACTGTTCATTTTATACAAATAATAAAAAAAAAGAATTCCAAAAATGATGCAAATAAAAAATGTCCACATGGCTCTGGGAATCTTATTTAACATTTATATTTACATATTCTACTATCATATTGTGCCTCTAATTCTTTCTAGATATTTTATTTTCTATTTTTTTAGATTACATAATGAGAAAATATAATGCAAGCTAGCCTTCAACTTGCTTAGATAGCCGAGGCTGGCCTTCAATTCAGTGATCCTCCTGCCTCAGCCTCCAGAGTGTGGGGCTCACAGTTGTGCATTACCACACCCAACTCTTTCTAGATTTTTCCCATTGTTGTACTAGTTTAAATTAGAGAGTAGTGGTTCCTCAAATCACATTAAGAAAACTTCAGGCTTGCTATTTTTTTCTAGGAATCCAAAGGAAGCCTAGCATGGTGGCACATACTTGTCATCCCACTTGGGAGGCTGAGGCAGGAGGATCACTGGAAGTTCAAGAACAACCAGGGTTATAAAGCAAGCTCAATGCCAGCCTGAACTGCATAGTGAGACCTTGTCTCAAAAAAGAAAAAAAAAAAAAAAAAAAAAAAAAATCCAAAGGAATTACTACAAAAAACATTTTTAACTGCTCTTTGCTTAGCTGTTTAGCCTTCACTATTCCTACACCTCCTAACAGTCAAAAAGTCTTCACAATGTCTTCTTGAAAATACTCTCTCAAAAATAATCTAAGACTACTTCATAAGCTTCCTTTAAAAACCATGCAATTGGGGCCGGGGAGATGGCTCAGTGGGATAAGCGCTTCCCTGCCAAGCGCAAGGGCCTGAGTTCAATCCCCGGTTCCGCAAAAAAAAATAATAATAATAAATAATAATAATAAAACCATGCAATTTTATTGGATGTGGTGTACACACCTGTAATCCCAGCACTTAGGCAGGGGCAGGAGGTCACCATGTGGTTTTTTGTTTGTGTACTAGGGATTGAATGCAAGGCTTTTTGCATGCTAGGCAAGCACTCTACCACATCCCCAGCCCATCACTATTACATCACTAAGTTTGAAGCTAGTCTGAATTACCCTTAAAAAAAAAAAGCTGCAATTTTACTGGGTGTGGTGGCACTCACCTGTGATCCCAGCATTCAAGGGCTAAAGCAGGGGAAATCACCACAAGTTTTGAGCCCTGCCTGGGCTACACAGTGAATTCAGGCCAACCTGATGGACAGCAAGACCTTGTCTCAAAAAAAAGGACCAGGGATATAGCTCAGCAGCACAATGCCTGCCTGGCAAGTGTAAGGTAATAAGTTCAATTACTGGTACCAAAAAAAAAAAAAAAAGCCAGGCGTGATGGTGCACACCTGTCATCCTAACACTTGGGAAGCTGAGGCAGAAAGATCATTGCAAGTTCAAGACCAGCAGATCAGGCAGAGTGAGACACTGTCTAAAAAAAAAAGGAGAAACTATGCAATTTTATAAAAAACACTTGTGAGGTGGTGACAAAAAAAAAAAAAAGGACAACACTTGCATTTCACTGTATGTAATTTTACCCTTGAGCCCTCCAGAAATGTTGGGACTAGGCAATAGTATACATGCTAATATTTAAAGTATACTGGTAACTGGAACTTAATTTGAGATAAAACAAGAAGAGATGAGACAGGTGTGGTGGTACATGCCTTTAATACCAGCACTTGGGAGGCTGAGACAGATCGTTGCCAGTTCGAGACCAGCCTGCGATACAAAGTAAACTCAAGGCCAGACTGAACTGCATATCCAAGACCCTGTCTCAACAAGACCAAAAACAAACAAAAAAAACCTAGTACTATGTTATGCACTTCATATTTATTAATTTAATCCTCCCAACAGCCCTAGAAGTAGGTAGTTACTCATATTTTACGCATGAAAAAACTTAGACATTAAAAAATTAAAACATCTGCCAAAATCACAAAGCAACGCTAGAATTCCACTTTGTCTAACTAAAGTTCATGTTTTGATTTTGTACAGAGGTGAGTTTACAAAGAAGGTGCACTTCTTTATTTCCTGATAATGAGAATAGTTTTCCACATTCAAGGCCAGTTGAGCTACATAAGGAGATCATGTCTCAAAAAGAATTCATGGTGAAGAATTACCATATTTGCATAGAAAAATTCTGAAACTTGCCGGTACATCAATATACCGTAGAAGGGGCTGGGGAGATGGCTCAGTGGAATAAGTGGTTGCCTGGCAGGCGCAGGGGTCTGAGTTCAATTCCTGGTTCTGC